AGGAGGTGGAACAATATTTTGTGTAGTATGTTATACCAACTGAGCTTGATGTCCCTTGAGACTATGGTCCTGAGCCCACAGGTCCAACCACTCGCCTCTGGTCAGCTGGCTGTGGCCAAGAAGTGACCACAACCTTGCCCCTTGTCAGCTCTACTATATACCTGGCAATTCTTACAGAACATACCAATACACTTGTAGAAACATTGTCTGCCAACCCTATACATGGTCTTGGGCACACTCTCCCCTGCATAGGCATATAGTTCAGCCTTTCCAGCCATCTATCTACCCATATATCTATGTTTGCCTTCACTGACAACACAGTAAGTGCCAAAGGGTTGACCTTTTTACCTGTACCTCCCACATACCTCTCTCTGTCTTCCTCTTCCTCCATGCCACTGTGTTGATCACTCACATTTAGTATGTTGCCTTTCTCTTCACTGAAATCAGTGCTTCTCTCTAACTATCTAACAGTGTTCCCTCCCCTCCCTTCCTACCCTTGGTAACCAACAAAGAATATTTCTTTCCATATATAAACCTTTCCTTGACTTTTTATAATAACTAATACAGTATTTGTCCTTCTGTGATTGACTTATTTCACTCAGCATAATGTCAAGTTCCTCAACATAATGCAGTGTTTTGCAAATTATACATCATTCTTTAGGGTTGCATAGTATTCCATTGTGTGTACATACCATAGTTTGGTTTTCATCCACTCCTCTGCTGATGGACACCTAGGTTGCTCCCATCTTCTGGCTATTGTAAACAGTGCTGCAATGAACATGGGTGTGCATATATCTGTTTTGTCCTGGCTGTCACTTCTTTAGGATATACACCTAGTAATGGAATGGCTGGGTCAAATTGTATTTCTAATTCCATATTTTTAAGGAATCGCCATACTGCTTTCCACAGTGGTTGTACCATTTTACAGTCTCACTACAATGTATGAGAGTCCCAATCTCTTCACATCCTCACCAGCATTTGTTATTTTGTCTTGTTGAACTTTGTTACTCGTGCTGGGGCAAGATGGTATCTTACTGTTTTGATTTGCATCTCTCTAATGGCTAATGAGGAGCTCTGGTAGTGTAGTGCCTAAGGCATTTAACTGCTAACCAGAAGGCTGGCAGTTCAAACCCACCAGCCACTCCTCGAAAGGAAGGCTGGGCAATCTACTTCCATAGTGATAATGCCTCAGAAACCCAAGGAGGGGTCACTATGAGTCGGGTCCGACTTGACAGCACAAAACAATAACAATGGCTAATGATCATGAGCATTTCTTCATATGTTTGTTGGCCACCTGAATATCCTCTTTGGTGAAGTGTCTGTTCATGTCTTCTGCCCATTTTAAAATTAGATTATTTGTCTTTTGCTGTTGGGGTGTTGGAGTTTTCCACAAATTACAGAGA